GGTTTAAACTGTACTTTCTTGTAACAAAATGTGAAGTATTTTGGCAGAAGTGGAGGCTGTTAAATAATTTTCAAAGAGCTAGTTCAGTTCTGTTTATGAAATAGAAATGTGTGGTCTGATGTCTTAGAAAAGTCCTACATTTTTCTGATCTTAATTAGAGTCTCTTCTTTCTACAGAAATAGGAAGGTTGTTGATTATTCACAGTTTCAAGAATCTGATGATGCAGGTAAGTTTTGTGGTTTCAACAAATCGTAAGTTGGACTGACCAGTGTAGGTTCGCCAGCTTATTATGTATTTTTTATCATGCTTTTGTAATGAGTTTTATTTTTTATTTTTAGAATATTTATCTAAATTATGTCATGATCTGTGTCAACCAAAGTTGAACTTCCATGGATTTTTAACTTTTCCTTAGTAAATCATTGGTAATAAACACTTAAATAATTTTTTCTTACCTGGTTTTGGAGTCTGAAGTTTAAATGTTCAATAATTCTGATATAGTGTTTATTACTTATAATATCTCCTGCTGTTATTATAATAAAACTTGTACCTTGTATTAGGGAGTATTTAAGGTTTTTGCATAATAAAGCAACTAAGATAAGTGCCCATTTTGTGAAACAACTTTGATTTGTGAACTAATTTATCATAGCATGAGTGGTGTGCCTTAAATCTTAGCCATAAAAGGTTTCTTTAGAGTTGTCTCCTAATTTTCCAGATGCATTTACTATTCTTTTTTTCTTTTTAATCTAACTTTACTTTATAAAGGTAATATGTGCCCTTTGGGAAAGCTTAATAAAATGCAGAAAGATATAAAGAAGATTAAAAAAAAGTAATATGTAATCCTGCCTCCCAGAGGTAATACTAACATTTATTAAATGCTTGCTACATGCCAGCATTTGTTTGTATTCAATAATTTATTCTTTAGAAAAATCCTTTTAATATGGTATGTACTATTATTATTTCCATTTTATAGTTAAGGAAACTGAGGCAGAGATAACACTCAGGCTCTCTTAGTCAGCAAATAGCTATTTTTACCTTTTTGTTAACTTAAGTCATTTATCTTTTTTTCCTTTTAAAAATATAGTTGAAGTCTTACTATAGTTTTGGATTCTGCTCCCATACCACTCCTACTTCAGAGCATCTCTATTGTGTTATTAAGAGTTATTTGAAAAATTCCCATTAATGATTGTATAATATTCCATAATGGAATTTATAACATATCCAACCATTTAATAATTTGCTGAAGCTCCAGATTCTTCCAGCTTCTCCCCATTATGTACATATAGTGCAGTAAACAGTTTTGGAAGTAATTGCCTTTTAAGGAAGAGTCATTTTCTTTAGTTTTATAGAGCTTTTGAAATTGGAAGTGTTTCTTCCAGTGCCAGAGTATGTTGTATTTAATACTTTAGTTTAAAAGTAATTTGCTCGATAACAATAATTACGTAGAATCGTAGTTTCTTTACCTTCTAAAATGCTTGTAATATATTCCTATAATAATTTTTAAATAAATTTGAAGATGTTAAAATATGAAAAAATCTTTTATTAATCAAAAGGGTAAGTTATAAAATGATGAGACATTTAGCTATAGATATATGAAATATGTGTACATGAGGACTAGAGGGTAGTATGCAAAAATAGAGTTAAGCTGGTGGGGCTGGGATGGAAAAGAATTTAATTTTAAAAAATGAAAGAAACTAGTTGGGAAATCCTGTCCCTCTTGCCATTTAAACAGCATGAGAGATAATTATGTCAGTAAATACAGTGGTGATTTTAACATGTAAAAATCATAATATAGTTAATGGAATTTGCAAAATGCTCTGTTTAGATGAAGATTATGGAAGAGATTCGGGCCCTCCTGCTAAGAAAATTCGCTCATCTCCCCGAGAAGCTAAAAATAAGAGGCGATCTGGAAAGAATTCACAGGAAGATAGGTAAGAGGCATTGTCTTTCTGTTCCTGCTTCCACTGTCTCCACTCTGAGATACGGACAGTCTCTGACCTCTAAATTGGTGAAATATTCATATACTTTTAAAAAGTAATTATGGTCCACTTAATGTTTTGCCTATTTCATATTATTTCAGGCTGTGCTTAAGCATGTAATTTGTTACCTAAGGTTAGTATTGATACTTTTATTATAGTGAGAACAAAAAATAAGTGATCTGTCCCATTCAGTCACTTATCACTGGCAGACTTATAAGTAAAGCTTGTAGAATCTTAAGTTGTATAGCCTGCTGAGTTTTACTGTATCATAATCAATTTTCCTTTGTTTAAATAATTTAATCATATTGGGTGTTTTCTTTGCCCTTAGTTTTACAAATGAGTTCATGTGAGTAATAATTTTAACTATAATTTTGCCTCATAAGACCAGGATATTGTAACTTTTGCCTCTTTTTAAAGGTATACACACACATCCTCACACTCAGTGTTGGATAACTTTTAAGGCCTCCTTGATGATGATGATGATGATGATGGCTACCATTTATGAATATTACGTGCCAGTCTCTATTATGTGCTTTACATACAGTATCATTTAATTCTCACAACTCATCTATTAGGATAAATAGATAAATAATATTAAACTTAGAGAAGTTCAGTGATTTAACCAAGGTTACTCAGCAAATGGACAAACAGATTTTGAAACCATGTCTGTTGGATTCCAAAGTCCATTGTTTTATTTGATTTTATTTTATTTTGAGACAAGTTCTTGCTATGTTGCCCAGGCTGGTCTTGAATTCCTGGGCTCAAACAATCCCACCTTGGCCTCCCAAGTAGCTGGGATTACAGGTGTGCACCACTGTGCCCAATCCCAAAGTCCATTTTTTAACCATAAGGCTATACCATTTCCAAATGATACTATTATGAATGAATGAGCAGTTCAAAAGAAATGATATTTCTCCCTGGTTCTTCTAAGAACTTTGGAGCACGAAAATCACTATAAAATACATGCATTTACCTAATATATTTTGTTATTTTGTTTGCTTATTTGCTAACCTTTACTATTTCCTTTGCTGGAGAATTTTAGAAACATGCTTTTGAGGAAAAATAATACAAAATTATGCTGTTGAGAAACGAGTCTTCCAGAGTTTCATAGTATATCCCTAAAACAGTTTAATGTAGGAGCTCCAATACAGAACTATTGTTCATTATATTCAGTTATTATGTTTTTCCTAGGAATCAGCTGCTTCATGGACTGTTACTATGTCTCATCAATGTAATTATATCTAGCCTAAATTTTTTCTTTTTGTAATCATTTGATTTTATTATTGTAAGTGTCAGGAATGATTGAGTTTTTATTGCCATTTGTATAGATGACTTGTATGTTTATTCTCTCAGACCAGTGCTATGTTGATTATTTTTGGTCTCTACTTAAAAGTTCAGCTTTCACTTGACTTTGCTGTAATGGTGCTCGAAGATTAATAGTCTCT